GTCAAGAACAGTTCGAGCGTAGTGGTAGGTCTGAGACTCGGTGGGAGCACCTGAGTACTCACCGTAGTTGGCGAGCTCGTCGGCGAAACCAGCAGAGGCAATGGCATCGGCGTAGACGACGGAAGCACCACCACCAGCAACAAGGGTCCAGATACGGCCCTTGGCGTTCAGAACCGTCAGCTTCAGGGAAGCACCAGTCTTAGCGTCGAGATCAGCGATGTAAGCCTCCTCCTTGGTCAGCTCACGACCGAAGGGGGCGGGGAACTCCATAGGAGGGCCAGCATCGATATTGATCTTGCCATCGGCAGAGGGGGCAATGTTGGTAAGACCGAGAGCAGCAGGAGATCGAGCAATGGCCCACTTGACACCGCACTCGAAGTCGGCAGTCTGGTCAAGCTTGGCAGCAAGATCGAGGAAGTGGACAGCGGCGGAGGTCTTGTCCTCGTTGGGAATGACAACGAGAGGGTTGATCTCGAGATAAGTGAACTGACAGTCAACGTAGACGGCATAGAGGCGGGTGATGAAGTCAACAAGGACGTTGTGAACGCCCTGGGGAACCTTCTTGAGAAGAGTAGCAGCAATCTCCTCGTTGGAAGGGTATTCAGCGAGGTCCACAGGGATCAAGAGCTTCTCAGCCTTAGCGTCAACATCGCCGACATCAACACCGCCCTCGTGGGTGAAGAGGATCCAGTCGCCCTATAGATCAAGGTGTCAGTAAATTAGGTACAGATAGTTTGGCATTTGGGCGTAGGCCGGAAAACCGGTACTGGTTGTGGGGTTGGTCGCGGAAGGGACCGAGAAGAACGGGGGTCGTTTCCGACGATTTCTTGTCGCGGCATCCGTTCGCCCGTTTCGGTACAAAGAAGGATTGCCGGCACAGGTAGAACGAGCCCACAATTAGACTATGCAACGCCGAGCAGTAAATACAAGTTGCTGCAGACCCCTTTCTTCTCTTCAGATTCTTTCCTTCTCTTCCTATTCTCTTCTTTCGATTTCAGGATCTTCATATTGGAAATATGAAGCGCTCAAGGAACTCATCCAAAAACAACACAGGAAGGAACAATGCTTCAACTTACATCACGGACTGAGTTGATGTTGATGTAGTACTCAGTGTCTTGGGGATGAGGAACAAAAGGCTCGACAAGGAATTGTCTCAACACACCAGTGGTGTGCTCAACCTGTTGCTCCTTACCGGCTCGCTCAGCGACCCAAGCCTTAGCCTCAGGCCAGGTCTTGTTAAGGGCCAAAAGACCACTCTTTCCTCGTCGCTTGATGAGCTGATCGGGCTTGGCAACGAACTTGGCGTCGGGCTGGAGGAGCCAAGGGTAGGTGACCTCAGCCTGGTTCAGAATATCCTCAACACTGGCATCCTCTGGGAAGTGCAGCGAGGCGAGTCTGCTGGGGGGGTTGTGAGTAGTAGGCGCAGGAAGAGGGCTGGGCTTGATAACGGGAGCGCGGGTGAGGTGGTAGTTGAGGATGGCCTTGCCGTCGGCCTCGAGAATCGATTTGGCGGACATTTTTATGAGGAAAGGAGGAGAAACGCAGAGTTGAGAATGAATTGGCGAGTGCCGGTTTATTCTTTTTCTTAATTCTGGTGAAAAGAATACGGTTAGCCAATGCTGCGTCTGGTCTGGTTCAAGGTTGATCGGTGTTGTCTCGCGGGCTCAAAACCGATTTGATTCAGCTCAGGATTGAAGTTGAAACAACAACAGCCAGGGCTGACAAAACTAAACAATGGATTCCACAGCGGTTTACAGGAGCGCAAAACTCAATGCTTAAGTGAAGCAATCATGATTGCGATTGACTTTGGCACTTTGAGGAGAGTCGACGACCGTTCGGCGGGGAAAAAGCACACTCACCACTATACACGAGCTCAAGTGGGCTGCAACAATGAGGTCGAAATCGAGGATTGGAGGGAGAGATGAGATTATGACAGAGAGATGGGCAAAAAGTCGAGGAAAGAGAAGAGGATGAGAGAGGTGAGAATGGAGGAGCAACTAGAAAGAAGCAGCGAGAGTTTGGAACAAGACACTGCAAGTTGAGGAGTGTGTGAGTGAGGGTGAGCTCTCTCGAAAAAACCACTGGACCTGAAGGAAGCTCAATGGAAGGGGAAGACACCCGAAGCGGGTGGAGTGGAGGGGTCAAGTTGAAGGGGGGAGTGGAGGGGCGCTCGACAACCTGGCCTGGCGTGGGCTGGGCTCGTAGCCTGGGGCGGGCGGTCAGTGGAGGGTACCTGGAGCTACAGAGTCGATCAGCGCGTGGCGGAGGTACCTGAGCCCTGGAAATCCATTGGGGACGGGGTCCAAAAAGCGATGAGGGATTGTCAAGTACTGGTACATGGACAATGTCACTCCGACTCCAAGCTGTTGAGGAGGACCAGGGTGGACCAGGGGGAGACGACCGACAACTTGAGTTACGTACGACAGGTCGATTCGAATTTCATCAAACCGCCGAAAACCGCAGCACTCAATTTACACACCGTACCTACGCTACGATCCGAATCCTATCCAACCCAATCTGATAGACTCAAAATTTCGGAAGCTTTCGTGAGTTGTTCGGCCACTTCTTGTGAGTCTTTTCCATTGCTTTTTGGGGACTACCATGATCCAGATATCAACAACATCTAATACAGGCTGTACCTAGATGGCCTAAGCAACGGTTGGCTCCTCCGGGGTACGCGAAGCGAGTCGCCTGCCCCAAAGACCTGGGTACCAAAACAAAAATGGAAGTCTTCCATTTGGTGAGATTGGCAAAGATTGACTCGGGTTCCGGGGGAAGTGCCCAAAGCTGGCTTTGCGGTGAGTTCGAGGAGCAACTCAAGGTGAAGTGAGCCTACAGGGTGACACCAGCCCAGTGGCTTGTTTTGGTGGTCAGCGTCTGCTAGGCTGGACGCCACCCCCGACATGGTCTAAGCTTGATTTCCTGCCCCTCCATGCCCCTCCATGATGGACCGCGCCTCACGTCAAGCTCTTGAGCTATCCGATTCTATTCAGTACTGTTCACTCCGAACCCACAACTACCGGCTGGCTACGGGTTCGGTATCCATCGAATCGCATATCTAAGCTTCCGATGTTCGGTGGAGAGAAATTTCTTTACAGGACAGGCTGTGCAAGCATCCATGCCTTTTTGGAACTGCAGACCGTGGAACATCAGTCGGACAGTCTAGACAGTCCAGAAGGAGGTATCCAAGATGAGAAAGTGGCTTTGTTTTGACGGGTACGGAATATCAACGCAGTCACGGAGTACAGACAGATGCAATGCAGCTGTTTAGTGACAGCCGAGTTTCACTTGATTCATCTTTCTAGCCTTGCTATTGTACCAAGCGGTAGGGCTAGCTTCAGTCCAGCCGCCCTTGGCTAATGTGAGCATGTGTGTCCCACTCAACAATGATTCCATGCCGCCTTTCCATTACCCTACCTTCTTCCCTAGAAAAGGGCCTGGTAGGATTGGAAGGCTGTCGGACCTCAACGTGATACCACCACCGGCCAAGAAAATCGGCGACTTGACCAAGGGCGTCTGATCATGAGCCTGCCAGTTCATGAAGCAGAGGCTTACGACATTCCGAGTATTACTATACTGACAGTTGAACGGACTAGTGAACTCAAGTGCCAGTCGTCAGTTCATGAAATAGTTACCGATGATCTTGCAAGATCTTCGACGGCACTCCGTATGGATTAATGCAGGGCATGGGTTGGCTGCACACGAAAACACGGGATGACCCCATCGTTTCACCGGGCCACAGTCGACATGTCTCTTGTCTCTTTTGGCCGCAAAACAATATGCACAGATTCTTTAAGCATCACCCGTATTTTTGACTACTTGATGGTACATATCAAATTCGGCTATTCATAAACTTCTCGGGGCCATAGTGGGGGATAAGCGCCATTACAAGACGCCTCTTACAAGTACAGACTGGCATGGACGACCCCTCATGGTGTGGCAGCTCCAGTCTTCAAGCTCAATTGCAAACCGCCTTGACCAAAAAAACAAAAAAAAACAAAAAAAAAAAAAACAAAGCCCGGATTCAACAGATCAACAAGAAAAAAAAAAGAGGACCCTGCAACAAGCGACATCCCCAAAGAAAACACAGGCTTCTTCCCCAACTGACTGGCTGATCAAATTCAACTATGCACATCACCCCTTACCGTCTCGAGACATTGGACGTCCATCTGGTCGGCCGAGGAATTCCCCATCTTGGCAATTGAGTTTCTCAAGAGAGATATCACCAAAAAAAGTCATTAGACAAGACCCAATTGTTGGCTCTCAAAAAGTGAGTGAGTGAGCTTGTTTCCGTTCATCTGCTCCAAAAAAAAATGGTCTGGGTGCGGGTATGGGAGATGGGTTGCGTGAGAAAACTGGCGCGAGCGGTGGCTAGTGATGTTCCGGGAGGTGGGCCAACAGGGGTAAACTTCCTGCCCCTCGATGTACTGTACCTGAGGTACCCGCTACTTGAACCCCAAGCAGCGGTCCTTGCACCTGCAGAGGCGTCAACCCCACTAAGTTTTTTGGGTGTGGTGAGACCTCAAGCAGGACCCGACAGGACATAGCACCGCGGTGAATTGGTGCTGCAGTTGTCCACTGCTTGCTGAGAGAAGCCTCATCGACCCTTGAAAGTCAACCAAAACCAAAAAACCCAAGCCCACCTCAGTCCAGCTCTCTCTTGCCCACCTCCCACCTCACCAGAGACGTTCAGTCATTCCTCCTGATTTCTAGGTCACGTCCCATCCGCTCACTCCCCTCCCCCTCGTCTTGTCTCGTCTCCGACTTTGTCTCCTTCAACTGACGGATCTTCTCGACCGTTTCTTCTACTCATCTCAATTCCTTCCCCATCTTCCTCTTCATACATCTCCCTCCATACCTAATTCCTTTGAGCCAACTTCTCCCCTGAGAGCTCAGAGCGTTTTCTCTCCCCAGCATCTGACACCTTATTTGGTTCCTCCAGCGCTTTACACCTTCAATTCTCCCGCCTCTACTCACACCGTTCAAGTTCGATATTCACAATGGCTCCCGCTTCCTCCAGCAGCCTGTCGGCCAACGACAACATTCAGCGTTTCCCGGCCCCCAGCCGACCTCTGAGCCCTCTTCCCGAGCACGCTCTCTTCACCGACAAGACGCGATGCTTCGTTTACGGTCTTCAGCCGCGAGCCGTCCAGGGCATGCTCGATTTCGACTTCATCTGCAAGCGCTCTAAGCCCTCGGTCGCCGGTATTATCTACACTTTCGGTGGTCAGTTCGTCAGCAAGATGTATTGGGGAACCAGCGAGACTCTTCTGCCCGTCTACCAGCAGGTTGACAAGGCAATGAGCAAGCACCCCGATGTCGACGTCGTCGTCAACTTTGCTTCTTCCAGAAGTGTGTACAGCTCCACCATGGAGCTTATGGAGAACCCTCAGGTCAAGACCATTGCTATTATTGCTGAGGGTGTTCCTGAGCGAGTAAGTACATGCCAATTGTCGTGTACTGAAAAAACCAACTAACAATTCCTCTCTAGCGAGCTCGTGAGATCGCCCACGTCGCGAAGAAGAAGGGTGTTACCATTATCGGACCTGCTACGGTCGGTGGTATCAAGCCCGGCAGCTTCAAGATTGGTAACACTGGTGGTATGATGGACAACATTGTTGCCTCCAAGCTTTACCGTAAGGGTTCCGTTGGCTACGTCTCCAAGTCTGGCGGTATGTCCAACGAGCTCAACAACATCATTTCCCAGAATACCGACGGTGTGTATGAGGGTATCGCCATCGGTGGTGATAGATACCCCGGTACCACTTTCATTGACCATCTCCTGCGATACCAGGCCGACCCTGAGTGCAAGATCCTTGTCTTGCTCGGTGAGGTCGGTGGTGTTGAGGAGTACAAGGTCATTGATGCTGTTAAGCAGGGTATCATCACCAAGCCCATCGTTGCCTGGGCCATTGGCACTTGCGCCAGCATGTTCAAGACCGAGGTTCAGTTCGGCCACGCTGGTTCTTTCGCCAACTCTCAACTTGAGACTGCCAAGATGAAGAACGAGAAGATGAAGGAGGCCGGCTTCTACGTACCTGCTACCTTCGAGGATCTTCCCGCCACTCTTAAGGAAGTGTATGACAAGCTTGTCTCCCAAGGCACTATTGTTCCCCAGCCCGAGCCCGTTGTTCCCAAGATCCCTCTCGACTACTCTTGGGCCCAGGAGCTCGGTCTCATCCGAAAGCCTGCTGCCTTCATCTCCACCATCTCCGATGATCGTGGCCAGGAGCTTCTCTACGCTGGCATGCCCATCTCCGACGTTTTCAAGGAGGATATCGGCATTGGCGGTGTCATGTCTCTGCTGTGGTTCCGCCGCCGTCTGCCTTCATACGCTTCTAAGTTCCTCGAGATGGTTCTCATGCTCACTGCCGATCACGGTCCCGCCGTTTCTGGTGCCATGAACACCATTATCACTACCCGTGCTGGTAAGGACTTGATCAGCGCCCTCGTTTCTGGTCTCTTGACCATTGGCTCCCGATTTGGTGGTGCCCTCGACGGTGCCGCCGAGGAGTTCACCCGTGCCTTCGACAAGGGTCTCAGCCCCCGTGACTTCGTCGACAGCATGCGCAAGGCCAACAAGCTCATCCCCGGTATTGGACACCGTATCAAGTCCCGAAACAACCCCGATCTACGAGTCGAGCTCGTTAAGGAATATGTTCTCAACAACTTCCCTAGTCACAAGCTCCTTGACTACGCTCTTGCTGTCGAGACTGTCACCACCTCCAAGAAAGATAACCTGATTCTCAACGTTGATGGTTGCATTGCTGTCTGCTTCGTCGATCTCGTCCGCAACTGCGGTGCCTTCTCCGCGGAGGAGGCTGAAGATTATCTCAAGATGGGTGTTCTCAACGGTCTCTTTGTTCTTGGCCGAAGCATTGGTCTTATTGCCCATTTCCTCGACCAGAAGCGTCTGCGTACTGGTCTTTACCGTCATCCTTGGGATGACATCACCTACCTCCTCCCCAACCTTCGAGAGGCTGGAGCCCCTGGTGCTGAGGGCCGGGTTGAAGTTTCTCTGTAAGAGATGGAGAATGATAATTCAAATGGGAAAGAAAGAAATAAGGCGTCGAGCATTTGATGATTTTGTGCCGGCCTGGACGCGTCGTGGGAAAAAAACGACGGTCTGTATGAGGATTCCAATACAATGTAACTAGTGCTGGAGGCCGCAAGATGGACCTCCATATTACTCGCTTGATTCTATACACATGAATGTTGATGTTTGCTATGAGATCCTTTCGCGTTACATGCTTGATGTGTCATGATGAACATAATATGGTGGTTCGAGAGCCCTCACCTTTGCAATTCGGATCACTCTTCTTGTCAACCCGAATTTGTTTTAGATGTGGAGCGTTGGCCAGCTCCCGAGTCTTTGATGATATCGATCATATTTTCAGGGAAATATTACGGTCAAAGACGTTAGATTAAGGGATAACGAGTCACGGCACCTCAGAAAACCTCTTGAATCAATGAGCGCATATTGGAGAAGACGTCACTTGAAGTTTGTTGTATTTCTGAGGCGGAAGACTTGACTCACGTGGTTCATCATGAGTCCTCTCAGGGTGATCACATGACACATTCCCAAAACGGGTTGGCGTACCCAGTCATTTTGACGCCGATTCTTGAGCTCATGCTTCTTTGACGACGACCGACGAAACGTGAACGGCGGGTTGGTGTTCTTTCTGGGGCTTCTTCGATTCCAATTGCAGGCCGTCTTGGTAGGTAGCCCTCATCTCCCATTTATAAGTAGATCTCGCTCACACATGGCACAGATCCTGCGCTCCATTTTCTTCCAAGGATCAACCACTACAACCACCTCCAACAATGTCTTTCTTCCGCATCACCCTTCATCGCTCCGCCATCGGTCTTCCTGAGCGCACAAGAGGTGTCCTCGCCGCTCTAGGCTTGCGCCGTCGTATGCAGACCGTCTTTCATCCCGTTCACCCACAGTTCGCCGGTATGATCCTCAAGGTGAAGGAGCTGGTTCGTGTTGAGGAGGTGGATCGCGCACTGAGCAAAAGAGAAGTAAAGGCTGCGCGGACCCCGGATCCCGGGTTTTACGTTGAAAAGGCTGTGCCAAGAATGTAAAAATATGTGATGATACCAAGAAAGAGAAACGGGAGTGTACTATACTGTAATGATCCTTGTACAAAAGCTGGTGCAAGATAGGCGAAACTCTAGAGGTGCGATCAAGACACATCAAGTTTTAATTCACATATCACTTGAATGGAGGAATGAAATACAAGAATTTCGCATTGAGACCCTAAACACCCATAACACGGTACTCATTACAGATGTATCACGAATACCCCAACTCACAATTACGTGTCTGGCCCTCCTTTATCCCAACCGCAAGTCGTACTACCCTAAAATGGGTCATCATGTGAGTGAAACTCCTAGTTTGTCTCTCTCTGCCCATCTACCAGAGTTAAAGCCTGGTATTGCCCCAATAAAACAGTCTCAAGTGGTGGAGCAGACAGCGCCCAAGGCGAAAGCCCTGGTACTAGAAACTATGAGTTCCTTGATAGAATGTGCTGTTCAGAAGCTACGAGCTTTGTCAATATACTCCTGGCTGGGAGTTTCGTACTCATTGACAAAATATGTCTCGCAGTTACGTCCTAGCCAGACATTGAACTTTCCTATCTCCTCTCGAAGACGGGACACGGACTGCTGGTCCATGTTGGTCTGCGCCAATAGTTCGGGGAGAGAGACTGACAGCATCAAGTCAGCAAGAAATTATCTATCATCAGGGGCGAAGAGAAGTAGGTACCGATTAGTCGAGCAAGATGCTCAGCGCCATAGACATCGCAGACATTGGTGATTTCTGGGTTCGCCTCAGTGTTCTCCCAGAGCTTCTTGAGCTCCATGTACTGATGGCGCTCGAAACTAGTCCCAGTCAGTTGTCTGAACCGTCGAGAAGCGATTGCACTTACCGGTACAGTAAGATTCTGCTAAGAGCCTTCTCGAAGTACTCGCGGAAGCCTGCGATGACTTCTTCCAAGATGTCCATACTGGAAGATCCCTCCTCGCGGTATGGACGCTCATGAGCAAGATAGTCTTCAAATATCTTGGCGACTGGCTTATTGTGAGGAAGAGGGACAAGCTGGTTATTCTTGGTGATGTTTTCCCAATCATCCACCAGCATCGCTTGAATGTGGTCGGGTACTGGGAGTTTAATCATAGGTTTGTTGTGAAAAGCATCCTCCTAAGGCAAGGTTAGTATATGAATGGTTATTTCGAGCTGTAACACAGCTGGTGGCCGCTGTATAGGCATATGAAATCAAGGAGTGTATATGGGATCAAAATACCGTCTCGAGCTGGTCGCATGAGCGCGGCTTGGGCTTGGCACTAGGCTTGAGAGGCTTCTGACGTGGCTGCTTTGGCTCGTCTTCGACAGTCAGGGGCATAGCGTAGCGATCATCATGGATCAGTTTGCCCGACTCTGTCACATAGCGATGGCCACTAGATGGGAGAAGAGCAAGATGGTCCTTGGGTTCTTTGAGCTTGGCCAACTTGACCTTCTTAGCGGACTTAAGAGAATCCACCGACTTGTCAGGCTGAGCCAAATCAGGAGAGTCCTGAACATTGGAGACAGGAAAAAAGCCTTGTGGAGCAGAAAGGTCGCCCGTCGGTTCCATGACGCCGCAGTGCCTTGCCGTTGATGAAGGGCTGGGGTGACAGGGGGCAAGTGCTTAAGCAAGGGAAATGTTATGATGGGAGGAAGAAGACTAGGAAGTTCGAGAACTTGGAAAACGGTAGAGCAGACAAGAGCTGCGGGAGGGAAAGGATGTAGTGCGTAGAAATGATGCCTTGTCAAAGTGGGATTTTGATGCCGGGACAAGGGCGAGGAGTGACAAGAAAGGAATCATAGAGGGGAAAACGGCAGCGCCATAGGCAGTGTTGGGTGTAGGCGGAGGCTGGAACACAATATAAGGCTCGGTATGACCCTGGTTCAACCGATCAGATGGGAAACACACTTTGATACAATAACAGCCTTCTCCCCAATTTTGAGATGATGAGGAATTGGTGAATAGTGTAACAGAGTATAGATGCTTCTTCTTTCAACCAGTCTCACCAAAGGGCCAACTAGGCCATATTTTGCATATCACAGCCCAAAACCGCCGGAGAACACTCGCAAAAAGAACAAACAAAGCATTGAGTGGTATGGTCTGGGCAACGTAGCAAGAAATATCAACGAGCAAAGAATTTCTTACCTGTTCCAATTCCCAGTCTTTGCCTCGTCTTCCTCCCCTGCCCCCTTGAACAGTGGCAGAGCCTGATCGCTCCTCGCTGACTCTAGCAGACTCAGCACCACTTCTCAGGCCCTTTTTCGGCTGCTTAGTGCTTCGTTGGATGTTATGCTTCAACTGCGCGTGCAACTGTGCAGCCAGCTCTTTGTGCTCATCGTCGAATGGCCGGATACGGTCTACCAGCACCCAGTCGTCCCAGGTGTTCTTCCACCCCTTGTAATGGACTTTGTACTTGTATCCGTCACTGGGCTTCTCACCTGGCTGAACATCCATAATCTTGGCCTCGTAGAGCATGTCCATGTGGAAACAGAGCACTTTTTCATCTTTGCTGAACGGCGGTGGCGCCGGTTGCTGTCGAGCAGGAGCCATGTCTGTGATGTAAAGAACAAAAAAGAGAAGAAGTAACAAGAGTGGTAAAGAAGTGGTATAAAAGCAAAGTTAATAAAGCACAGATGCAGTTCTCCAAAGTCTAGTCCAGTCCAAAATCGATGAGTGTTGATAATAAGAACAATGGGTATGGGAATGGATGGGTGGATGGATGGATGAGATTGAATGCCCAGATACAGTGCAGGCACAGGTTTCTGTTAACAATTTACGGTAAGGTAGTCACCCGTACTTTGGAGAAGGTAAGGTACACACTAAGTTCGCGTTAATGAGGGAACAGGGGATGTTCACTGTGACCACGCGACGCGACAGCCCCCCTTAGGTTGGTTCAGAGTCAAAGCTGATGGAAGTGCTTGAATGGATGTGATAAGATAAGGGATTTGTTGGTAACAAAGGAGTGGATAGTGGAAAGCTAATGCTTACACCGGGCTGAATTAGTGGGAGGACACCCCCAGGCCCGCTCTCTAGACATCCAATCCAGATTCGATTCCAGCCAATTTAGGTTATTGTCACTGGGAAGAGGTCTTGGACCTTTGAAGTTCAATGGAACAGCTATTGGTAAACCGGCCATCGTCTGTGCTTCTCTTCTCTTTCTTTTTTGAAACCATCGAGCTCCTTCTTACGGCATGAAGACTTCACCCGAATCCCCTAGAGTCGCCTACACATCCATGCATACACATGGTCCTTGACCTCACCATCTCCCATCTAGCCATCATTTAGGTGCTCTTCATCGTGGCATCTACTGGTAACCTAGCCTCGAGTAATTCGGATACATATCTGTCCAGGTTGGCTACACGCAGTGGAAGGCTTGAGTTGGGGAACTGTATTGCTTTTGGCAGACAACAGAAGGGCCATGAACAGTATGCTTCAAAGATGCCTTTATACTATTTCTATGTGAATCACCCCAAGTGATACAAGAGCCCCTGAGCCATTCAATTTTAATTCTGTTGTGATCCTTTCCCTACCGAGTGCTGGCACTAGAAAGAAGACATAATATGGTATCTCCCGAGCAGACATTGACCGTTTCCTCGGACCTTTGGCGGGAACCTGATATCGTTGACTTGCCGGCACAGGATGACCAAATCTCGAGGTCAACTTGACAGCAGCTCAGCTTCAACTATTATTATTGCTATTAGTCGTGATGGAAGAGGGGCGCCGGCGGGCACGCCGAGGTTTAGACAGAAGCCCAAGAGACATAAAAGTATGATATTATGTACAAGTGTGTGCGCAGCTACACTGCTCCTAGCTCATGTTTGTATGAGACTTCGTTTATCAACAAAGAGGGGAAAACATGAAGACAAGGAAAAGAGCCGAGGAGGGCGCCAAATGGTACCTACTAATTCAGAAAGGTCTACCCAAATTCCCTACCTTATTGTCTCGTTCCTAGGTACGGAGTACCTATCCAGGCTGGAATTCCTGTATAACGCCCTGTCGTGTAAGCTGGGGATACATGATTTAGGCTTGGGCAATGTGGGGCACTTAACGCGCTTCATTTTCAAGACGCGTCCTAATTACATCCCATCAAAGCTACCTAAGCATATCGGTCCAATACCTGTCTTAGCATCAAGGGCCCTTTTGAACAGTTGCACGGGGGTTAACCCAGCTCGAAACCATAGACATGGCACCAACAGAAGCAGAACTTCTTGCAAACTACCTCATACAGCCATCTTCCTTGACCGCTATCGTCACACTCGAGCAATTCAAAGCCCTCTTTCCCCGTCCACTACAATCCTCACCTCAGGTTCGATCACTCTTTCGAGATCTACAAGCTCAACGCACAGATCTTCTCGACCAAGTCGCCGAGAACATCGCACATGAAGCGAAACGAGGGATCGCAATGCGGCGAGAAGTCGTACGGGCTAAGCGCGAGGCAGAGCGAGAGGATATAGACGCCGAGATTGAGATGGAGCGAGCAGTATGTCCAAACGAGTACACATCACCGTGTGAATACTGACCGACGCTGCTTACAGTTATTTGGAGATGCTTCAGGTGCAGCGAGTGCCAAACATACTCTCAACTCTGTTATTCCAGAACTTGAGGGTGCCGCAGGTGCACTACATGCCGAACTTGCACATTTGAAAGAGGAAGAAGCAATCTTGCTCGACTCTGTACAACAAACTATAGGAGCATTGAGCGATCTACGATACGGGAAATTCGCCAATGGTCGCATAAGCGAGGGAGTTATTGATGGCCTCAAAAACGTAGAAGCAGCTTGCGAAAACAAATCATGAACGAACATATCATTTCAAGGGCATCTGCAACTTCACGAAAATAATCATGATCTCTCCGAGCCAGAAACTTCATATATTTGCACGACTGATCAACATTTTCCCAGATATCGAACAATTCGACAGTTCCATCACTAAAGCCTGTCAAGTGTTTGCCCAGAACGAATTATTGGGCGCGCTGAGCACCAGCCTGAGGGCCACCGTTGACGCCTTGCATACGACGGGACCTAGTGCTATTAGTATCATTTTGTTTGGCTCAGGGGTTGAAATAACTCACATCATGGCGCGGCTACCGAAAGAGACAACGAGCATGAAGAGCCAGTTGGGGATGAGGCCCATAGCCCACATGAGGTAGCCGAAGGGAACAGCTACGCCGTACTCGGCAAGCTTGCCGTTGAAAGGATGGAACCAGCTGCTGTCAATGCGATGGAACTGGTCCTTGCTGCCGGATTCGTGGAAGGCAATCAGAGTGTCCGAGGTTGTGGTGGTCAAGTTAAGCCTCTTGCTATAAATCTCGACGGGCGCAGGTTCGGGGAGCATCTCAATGATATAGAGGCTGGCGGGACCCGCAGACCAGGCATTGCAGAGAATGGGCTGGTTGTCGCAATTCAGGTAAGCCATATGGGGAGTGTTGTCGAGGAGCGCAAACTTCGCAGCGGTCTCGTTGAAGGCCTGCTCGACAGTTCCGCATCGACCTTGAATTACATGTTAGCAGTAGTTCATTACGACTAACAGGGTGGTAATAAAAGATTATGGCACAAATCATGTAGTGTAAATTCTTGGTGATCAAACGTACCGTAGCATGTCTTGTTGCCACCAGAGATGAGCAACCACCACTCCTCAGGTGTAGTAGCACCTGCGGAAACAGGCTCGTAAAGGGTTTGCTTCCAGTTCTCAAGGGTCAGGACGTTGAGTCTCATAGAACCAGCCTTCGCCTCAGCGGCGGCAACAGGGTCATGGTGGCCCGGGTTGGGAATATAAGAGGCGAACTGTCCGATGACATTTTGGAACTGGGCCTTGTACTGGTCGATAGGCGAGTCCTGAGTGGCAGCAAGGGCGGGCAGAGCCGCAAGAACAGTTGAGGACGAGAAGCGCATGTTGGCAATTTACTTCTATGAGCTTTTGATAGTCGACAGCGAAGTAAGGCGCAAGGTAATTAACAAATATTGACCTCGAGGAGACGGCTGGAGAGGAATGGAAGAGAGGAAGGAAGGGAAGATAAGACAGGCAGGTAATGGCCAGATGGAAAGATGAACGGGCTCCGGTGGAGATGAATGAATGGATGGGCTAAGGTAAGGTAACTATGGCTAAGCTTGGATAAAGACCCCGGTGAAATTGGATGCATGGGGAAAGCTGGACCCTTGTAATGGTTGGGGAGATTCTTCAGTGGCTTATGTATAGTACTTTGTTAACTCCTCTTTATTACCTTGGCTGCTGACTTATACGTAAGGTCATCTAAAGGTAGGGCAGTTTAAACCTGGAAATTCTGAGCCAGGAGACTGGTAAATTAAGTGTTACGAAAGAGAGAATTGGAATCCAATCAAAGCAAAGAAACCAGGTCATTCAATGCACTTTGGTTAATGAATGATACTCTAGAAGTGGTACTTGATAACGCTGGTAATCGACGTGTTACAAGTATGGTCATATAACATAGATAGATGCTGGAGTTTTCATCCACATGGCGTATTCCCCCGCGCAAAGTCAACCCCCCGACCGACAATCTGAAAAACCAATGATGACACCTAACGAGCAACGATTTGATAGCTCCAGCCCATCCTGACAGACGTGTTCCAGAGCTAACACATGCTAGGACATGCTAGGTGTCTAATAAGTACTTGTTAGTTAGACCAGTTCCACTAAATTGAGCAAACCTCCTGTTCCGTCACTCTACGAGACCCCAACAACTATCCGTAACTACTCCGTACTTGCGACCAGTAGCGCACCCCAGTCATGATCACAAATACAACGATACGGACCGACACTTATTCCGTGTCATTCTCACGCCCTCTTCGACGCGCGCGTCTGCGAAGTGATTCACGACACTACCAGATTTTAACAATTGGTTTTATTCTTGGTCTTTAAGTTTCTGATCCTCTTTGTACACTTGTCTACTCCAATCCTCTACCTACGTAACGTTTTCCAACCCGTATCATCGTTGTGTCCATACCATTCGATCCGTCCCGTAGCAACGACCCTGCCTCCAGTCCTATTCCATCACGTTGATTATGAACCCTCAGATGGGCCAGCAAGGCCAGGGCCAAAGCCAGCAAGCTGGTGCTGGTCAGGCACAGCAACGCCCGCCACCTATGTATCAACCCAACCAAATCAGAAACCTTCCAACATTGAGTGATGAGGAAAAGTCCAAGTACGAGGCCGGATTGCAGGGTCTTTGGAATAAAGCCAACAACTCTCCCCAGAACAGCCCGGATCACATTGCTGCGCGTCAAAAGATTATAGAGTTCTCCAAGATGCTTATCACAAAGATCCAGCAAAGACGCTCCCAGCAAATGCAAGGACAGAATGCCCAAAACCAGCAGGCCCGCCCTCAGCAAATGCAACAGAACGCTGCTGGGCAAGCAAATCAAGCACAGCCTCAGCAACAAGCTGCCGGGGCTGCTGCAGGTTCCCAATCCGCTGCTGCTGCTGCCGTTCGACGAAACCCAGTTCCCGACCATATCCAGCAGCATGTTAATAAGATTAATTTTCGAGCTCCTCAGTCCGTCATCGACAAATCCGCTGCCGAGGCTACCAAATGGATAGAAGAGATCAAGGAACGTTATACCCGAGCCTTGATGACTATGGATGCGAGCAAACAAAAGGTGGCTCAAATTGATAAAATCATCAATGATAGAGCCGCGGCCGGACAGCCGTTTAAAGAAGACGAGCTTCGACAGCTACAATTGAAGAAGGATCAGCAGCTCAAAGCCCATACGGATGCCCATAAATGGGTTGACAATGTGCGCAAGCAACAGGGAAGTCTGCAGGGCACTGGCCAGGCTCAAGCACAAGCTCAAACTCAACCGCAAGCACAAAACTCTGCCAGGTTGTCGCAACAAGGAAATCAGCCGGTGCAGCAGGCTGCAGCGACACAACAAAATCAACCGCAAACACAGCCGAGGCCGCAGCAGCAGCAGCAGCAGCAGCAGCAACAACAACAGCCAACCCAGGCAGCGCAAAGCCAAGCTCAAGCGACTCAGCAACAGAACAACGCGCAAGCCAATACTGCCCCTGTTAACGCGGCCGTCGAAGTTGCTAAGCAGCAGTTAGCCGCCGTCAGTCGAGCTTCCCCAGTGAACGGAACACCTGGAACAGCACCGGCGCAGGTACGTCCCGCGCAAGGGACACCTCAACCAGGACGCCAGCAACTACCAGCGGCGCAAGTTCAGGTTAAACAGGAACCTGGTGCACCCCCCATGAATCCTGTGATGGCTTCGGCAGCTGCACAGAATCAGGCTGGGACGCCGACCCAGCAGAACGCACCACGGATCCCTACGCCCCAACAGGCGGCGGCTTCTGCTCCAGTAACGGCGGCGGGTCCTCAGCAGGCTCTCAGTCACTCAGCTGCGATGGATCTTGCAAACCAGAAGGCTATTAACACTCCAGGAAGTGCCTCGGTGCCTGGCCGGCCTGCCGCAACTGGAACACCTACACCGGGTAGTGCAGTGAATCAAGGAGTGATGGGACCTAACGTTCCTCAGCAACCAACACCACAAGGTCATCCACATGCACATCCTCCACAACCCCAACAAACGCCAATGCAGTCTAAAATGCCTATCCCCAAGGTGCTTCCTGAAAAGGCTACAGCTGTGCCCCAAGGTGTTTCGGTTGGTGGTGGCGTGAACACTGGTCGGCCTACAATGTCCCAAGGCAGCGGAACCCTTGGCGGCGTTATGAATCAACCGGCGATGGCTAGAATTCCGGCCTACAACCATGAAGCTGAGGGAGATCACGTTTTGAGTAAGAAGAAATTGGACGAACTCGTTCGGCAAGTATGCGGAGGCCCGGCCGAGGGGCAGGATGGAAACCTGCTCACTCCTGAAGTGGAGGAGGTAAGTTGATCGCATATTGCAGTTGAGATGAAATCACTAATTTAGTCCTAGAACGTCCTAAACATGGCAGACTCGTTCGTTGACAGTGTCCTCCATGCGGCGTGTCGAAACTCAAAGGAGCGTGGTTCCAAAGTGCTCGAGATTCGCGACATTCAACTTGTCTTAGAGAGAACTTACAACATCCGTGTCCCTGGATACTCGTCTGATGAGCTTCGTACTGTCCGCAAGATCCAGCCATCTACTGGATGGATTGCAAAAATGAGTGCAGTCCAAGCGGCGAAGGTCATGCCTGGCAAGGGTGAATGATGCCTGGCCCCGGGAAAGTAGTGGATATGATAACGCCCATCGGCAGGCAAAAAGAACATCGGGCATTGGTACACTTTTTGTGTTTTACAAAAACGGGCGTTGGGTGTATACCCGGAACAAATCGGCGTCAAGGGGTATTCATTTTGGTAAGATGAGGCTATTCTGGGAAAGAAGGTAGACCATAATATGAGGTGCCTCTCCCACATGCAAGAGTTGACCTTCTGGGTCATGATGCAAATAATATTACGCCTGCCAACTTTACCTAAGTATGACCCGACACTTTCTATAGTCCTAGAATTTGAAGTGTCGCCAAATTCCTATCTGCTCTTGCCAACATCAGGAAAAGAGAAGTCTGGGAATCATACAGATTTGTTCCCCTAGGCGATACTATTTGCATCTCTATTCTTGGCTAAAAACCCTTTTCTCGATTTTGGAAGCTGTACTGCAGGGTTTCGTCACTCTTATCACTTACCTACCTGTAAGAAGTGGCTAGCATAATATTTGCACAACTTACATAAGCATCGCGATAATTTAAAAAGGTTGTGCAAAAGGCTGCAGGCAACATCGAAACGTCACTGCTCCTGGCCCCACAAGCTGCCGGCTTATTAAGAATACCTGAGCGGTACAGTGGAACGCCGCAAAATAAGACGGGAAAACAAGTAACTTTTCAGCCCTTTCAAGTAGTCTCTTAGTAGTCGCCTCAGTGCCAGTCACCACGCCCCGGTCTCCATTTGGTGAGCTAGCATGAGCAAGCAACGAGCAGCATCACTTTGAACCTCCCTCAATCCATTCCAGCACCAAACTCCCCACGACGACCACAGTCTTAATTTCTTTCGCAAAGCGTGCCTTGCTCTCTCGGCCTCGGCACCGTACATCCTTCAAGCCAATACCGTCCCAGCCCCATCAGCTCAGCACCACGACAAGCCAAAGCGCGAGCACGACTCACGGGGTCAACAAGTATTCTCCCACTATCACCATCAACAGCTTCTGCAGCTTCAGCATCATATTCTCTCAATACACACAAATAAACCTATCGTCATGCCCAGCAAGACGCCAAACAACAACGGAAAGAAGCCTGCCGGGAACAACGTTCAGAAAAATAAGGACGTGGAGATGACGGACAGCACAAAGCCCAAGGGCAAGAAGTCCGCCAAGGATGGTGATGAAGAGATGACCGTTGTGGTTCCTCCTTCAAAGTCGAAAAAGTCTGACAAGACGCCCGCTGACGCTGAAGGTGATGTGTCAATGGGCGAAGAAGAGGAAGAGGCCAAGGTTGACCCTGTAACACAGACTATCGCAGGTTAGTAGTTGTCGTCGGAGCTTGATAAGCCCAAGCCAAACAGTCACTGACATATCTTTCCAAACGCAGATATCAAGAGCAACTTTGCTTTGATAGATCGTGCGGTTTCACTTTTCGACGCCAGATTCTCCCTTCGCGCCTTACGATCTATCTCCATCATCCGCAAGCGTTTGACCCCCGATATCATTGCACAGGTCATTTCCGAGGCCTTCCCAGCTACCGCCAACTCGAGCGCCGTTGTCAAGCCGCTCTTGTCTGCCATTGAGCACGATGATATTATCCTGGGCCGACAGAGTGGTTCAGAGATGGAAATCGATGAGGCGAAGACTTCTGGCAAGAACGGTGCTAAGAAAGAAGCCAAGGAACCCATTCCTGAGATTGATATTTTCATTGGTATTCTTGTCCAGGTCTTCCTCTTTGACTCCAAGCAGTTCCAGCGCGGTGCCGACTTCTCTAAGTACCTATCGGACAGAGTCCAATCCCTCAATCGCCGTACACTTGACTCTTTGTCTGCCAAGGTCTACTTCTACTACTCTATCTTTTGCGAGCACATCGCACCTCTTCCCCCTTCTCCCCAATCCCCCGTCGTCGCTATCCGGCCAACTCTTCTCGCCGCTCTCCGGACCGCCGTGCTACGTAAAGATGTCGACACGCAAGCATCGGTTATCGTTCTACTGCTGCGAAACTATCTATCAACTTCGCACATCAACCAGGCGGATCTCTTGGTCTCACACACCCAGTTTCCCGAGAACGCTGTCAACAACCAGGTAGCACGATTTCTCTACTACCTCGGTCGCATTCGAGCTATTCAGCTGCGCTACACCGAGGCTCATGAGCATCTCACTGCTGCCACTCGAAAGGCTCCTTCTAGCAGCTGCGCCCTTGGTTTTGCTCAGACGGCCACTAAGCTGCTCTATGTTGTTGAGCTGTTGATGGGTGACATTCCTGACCGAGCTATGTTCCGACAGCCAACAATGGAGGTCGCTCTCCAGCCCTACTTCCTCCTGGTCAAGTCGGTTAGAGTTGGAAACCTTGAGGACTTTGAGACAGCCATTGCCGATCATGCCGATACCTTCCGACGAGATAGCACGTACAGCCTCATCCTCCGTTTACGACAGAACGTCATCAAGACCGGTATTCGCATGATGTCTCTGTCCTACTCTCGCATCTCTCTTCGTGACATTTGCATTCGTCTGCATCTTGGTAGCGAGGAATCGGCTGAGTACATTGTTGCCAAGGCTATCCGCGACGGTGTAATTGAAGCTACCTTGGATCGTGAGAGGGGTTTCATGAAGAGCAAGGAGGTTGGTGACGTGTATGCTACTCGTGAGCCGGGTGAGGCGTTCCACGACCGAATTCGAGCTTGTTTAGCACTTCACGATGAGAGTGTAAAGGTTTGTTTCCCATTCATTGATGAGACGGGATAGAGACTAATTGGCACTAGGCTATGCGATTCCCTATGAATCAACATCGTCTTGAGCTCAAGAACGCCCAGGAGGCCCGCGAGCGTGAGCGTGAGATGGCCAAGGAGATCCAGGAAGGTGACTTGGACGAGGACGATCTCGGCGGAGACTTTGATGGTATCTAAACATTTGTATATTGTCTCGGCTTGAGAGCATTCGCTACCTATCGATTAATGCCCGTGGCTTCTCCTTGTCGACGCCGCCAGATACCGTTAGCTGTAGTTTCTTTTAATGACTCGCTTAGGGTGACGGTGGTGGGTAGTTCGCTGGTATGCGTGGATAGAAAGGGGAGGGATTGAGGTGGTCTGAACGTCGTACCCAGACTCCAGTGTATGTGTATTAGATGCTCGCACGGCCGGAATAACTGAGAGGCATGGAATGCTGTGTCATTCTCGGTGACATAGAGATTGGAACGCCGTTTTCTTCAGACTTATATTCCAAAAGCAATACACTACCTCTATAAGTGAATAGGTGTGAGGTTCTTCCCAGATGGCGGCAAGGACAGAAGTCATACTATCCAGTAAACCACCTGGCTTCCATCTCTAGAATATAATATGTCTTTGATTCCTTATTTTCAACAAATGGGGAGCTGGCGCAACGGTAGCGCGTCAGATTCCAGCTATCAAGCACGGAGATTCCTGAAGGTTATCGGTTCAAATCCGGTGTTCCTCATACTTTAATATTTTAGTATAATTACCCTTTTTTAAAAAATAAAAATAAAAGAATTCTTTTTAATTAATTCTATTTTTTACTTTTTCACTTATATTTAATATATATATATATATATATAAGTTAATATATAGATAGTATTCTTTTATATAATTTATATCTTTATATATATATATTCTTTTATAAAGATAAAAGTAAGCTGAGTCTGCCTCCAGCATGAGATACCCATCTAGTTTAGGACTTATGATATCTAACTGTCAATCTTACGCCCTTGGATCGACAGGTGTGGGCCATATCTATGGCTGCCTTAACATATTGTATGATCCAAGCCACGATAGGATTCTTAAACACACTTTGTTTATGTCCGATCAGTATCAATCGATACGTATGCGGCAAGCACATAAACACAAGGCGCTGGAACATCGATCAAGCTCAACAAGTCAAGATTGGATGAGGGGTGATTGCAGTGTTGATCTTTTCTGGGTGATATTATTCTGCCCCAGACGCTGAAGATTAGACTCAACGTCAAACCGCGAATGTTTTGATTGTCACAACGCGGGCAACTTATACCTTTCCAGCTTTAACACTCTGAACCGCATGGTCCCCAGAGAGTCCTATTCACGGCCCTTTCGTGAACACAAGTAGGGGCCGCCGCCAGAAGCTGCTGGAAACACGAGAGCATGCTCAAGGTTTGAGGTGAGGTTGACTCACTCGGCAAACAAGTTGCCAGTTGTGCACTGCACAGAGTACGCCCTGCGTTTGACAAGGTTTCAACAAGCAGCAAGGCAGTGCCAGCCAGTGGAAGCCCCCCTCGAAAGGTTTGTTACAGAGTTTGAGTGTCATTCATCGGCAAGGCTGAGCTTAACTTAATAGGTACCAGGTTTTCAACTCTATTGTGTCGATATATAAAAGGCTCGAAGGGACTGATGGGAGGCCCTTTCTTTCTTTCGTTTCATATCACACACAAGCCTGACTGCTTTGAATTCACAAGTACACCATAAAACCTGACTCCAAAGTTGCGGACATTAGCATGGCTTCCGCTACCGAGCTTCGGCCTACTCAGCCGCCCTCATTTTCAACACATCAGCACGCAACACCATCTTTGCCTTCGGTACCATTGACCAAGTACCACGACGAGGTAGAAATAGACCTAGCTATCCATCTCGCCACGCTTTGCCGCAAGAGCCTCCTCGAGCTCGACTCGCATCTTCCCGGCTTTAAGCCTTCCCATCCTTTCACTGCAGATGAAATCGTTTCTCTGCCTCTTGACAAGCATCGGATCGACGATGCTCTTCATGAACTCCCTCGACGCAAATCTTCTCGCCACAACTTGGCCGTCGCCATTTCTTCCTTTTTGTACCCTGTGCATCAAGGTTCGCTAACAGCCATCATACGCTACGAGGAAGACCGCGTACGCCTCCGTGCTTGGGCTGCCTTGCAGCGCAGGTATGACATGCTGAAGGCCACTATTCGCAACGGTCATACCACCCGTGGCCTTTCCAGCGGTGCCCCCCCTGGTGTCCAGGCGCCTGTTTGGGCCTCCCGTATCACATCACAGGGAGTTTGGG